TTTTTCACTTTGATAAACATCAATTAGAACAACATATGTTTTCTTTAGGGATACATTTTCATATAGGATTGGTCTGTAAATAAATGTAACTTTTACGGTTGTGTGTAAAACCAAGTATAAATGTGAAACAACGCAAAAATGTAATAAAAAGTATTTGCCTTTAGGGAAGCAGGTCTAACTTATGCAGTAATGTAACCCATCAACTTCTGAGTCATTTAGCACTTAGACATGGTGCAATTCTACATGGTATCGGAAGAGGGTCCCAAAACACTACTTAAAAAAGCATGTATATAAGAACGTGCTTTTGTTTTCACAGCAGAAATGGTGTCAATAACACTAAGCTTACAATGGGTAGAGGAGGTTAGACCAGACAGGGTGGTGGTATGCACACATTCCAAAGCAGTTTTAGAAACTATTCAGGGAGAATGAAATGATTGAAAAGATTTAGAATTAGAAATCCAGCACAGTCTATCTAGATTATATAGGGGTGGAACTGATATTTGGTTATATTGGGTTCCATCACATCAAGCTGTAAAAGGCAATGAAAAAGCGGATATATTAGCAAAAAAGGGCTTTAGAGGGAACAATGACAATTACAATTCCTTTTGGGAAAGGGGAAGGTGAATCACTTATTAAGAGGAAAGAAATGGAAAAATGGCAAAAAAAAATGGACGAAGATAAGAAAGGAAGAGGATTAAATAAGGTACAAAAATCAGCATTAAATAGAATCATTAATGAGAGAAACAGAAGAGAAGAAGTAATTATCACCAGATTAAGAGTGGGTCATACCTATTTTAATGACAATTTATATTTAATAGGGAGGAAAATAATAATAAATGTGAAGGATGTGGAGAAAAAGAAAATGTAGAACATGTCCTGATGAAGAAACTTATGAACCTGAAAGGGAGAAATTGAGAAGGATGCTTGAAAGGACAGGCAAAGAATGGAGTCTTAAAGGAATATTGGGAAATGAAGGAAAATGAAGGAAAAATAAAAGGATATACACAGATTAAGGAAAGCATTATGTATTTATCTACAGAATACAAAATAAAAAAAAATAGAATTTCAATGTAAAGTAATGTTGCTACACACTCATGTACAGTAGGTGGCGGTATGCACCTTAAAGTTACTTGCGATCCGCCATAATAGAAAAGAGGAAGAAGAGCGTGCTTTTATTTTGAAGGACAACCTGCAGTTGGAGAGCGTTACGTCACGTGCGGCGCAAGTCCTTCACCCGTCTTGTTGCTGAGGTCAGCCGCAGGAGCGGATAAGCAACCGGGAAAGGGAGCGGAGCTTGTGGAGGAAAGCAGATAATGTACCGGTGATATTTGTTTGACTCTTCCCGTTTCACATTCATACAGGAGTTAGAAAATATTTATTCAGTAATACGGTTTATTTTTTGCCAGTTTAAATAATTTAGCTATCATGCTGTCTGAGTTAGCCTCTAGCTACCATCATTGCTGAAACATGTGCTAATGTAATTATCAGCGGCAGAATATCAATGTCACCAGCGAGCCTTTGTGTTTGAAATGTGCTTAAAATATTTAAAAGAACACTGTAGCTTATTAGATGCAAGTTTTAAGTTTTACGAAAGCCAATTAATGTTTGTTATGATCTGGTGGAAATAGTGAATGAAATCATAAGATAATTTTTTTATGTTTTTAAACCAATGCTAGTGACAACACCAAACTAAAATAAAGGTTAGAATAAACCATAATAGCAGAATTAGCAAAGAAATTAAATATTGCCAGAAAAACGTGTGTGAATAATAAATAGGATCTTTAATCACGAGCTTATTTATTTCTTCTTTCATTCTTTTAATGGAACCAGATATAGAATTTCTACGAGATTTAAAATAGACTGTGAATTTTTTACATCAATGTTTGTTGTAGCTAATTTTTTTTTAACTATAATTCATGTGACAATTTAAGATTATTTATAAGCCAAAATTCCAAAATAAAAACAAGCAGATTTCCTTAGCAAATTGTATGAATCTTGTGGATGATGCCTTTCAGGTTTTAGTATTTTATTGCAACTGTTATTTAAACATCTAATAGTGTCATATTGGTTCATGTATATAAAACAGAGGGGGGTATGTTGGTATAATTTCTCAGCAATTTATAAGTGATACAGTTCACCTTATGAATTTATGACTTATACTAAAAAGTTAGAATCAGTTGGGTAATAGAGCCATGTGGTCTAGCCAGGAGTTTCTCAAATCTAATTAGATCTTGCATACTTTACTGATCCCATCATGTAAGCCAGTTCTTATTACACGTAATACTTTGTTTGCTTTGATATGATACTGTAAAGATAAAATGAAAATGTTGTGATTATTTAAGTTATCATTCATGATTTCATTTCATGTAATTGTTAAAAAATGTGTTCATGTTATCGAAATGTTTTGTAATGTTAACCGTTTGCACTTAAAACTGATCCCAGTTCAGGCTTCCTTTGGAATTTGCACGTACTGAACATCTGAGGCTTTACATAACGGCATCTTTATACCCCCTGAGCTGTCTGAGGTTAAATCTCCGCTGCTGTCGTCCTCAGCGGCTCCGGTGGAATGACGGTGAACATCAACTCGTTGCCAAGTCATGGATAAAGTGCTGCCAAAATGACACAGGAAACCCTGACAAGCTCCCAGCTGTCCATCAAAGCCGCTGCTCTGCGCATGGTTGACCTCCCAGTGTCCGTCTACAGCTCCCTGACACAGGTGAGCATGAGTGTTCATGTGTTTATTTATTGGTAGAGATCTCTATGCCGGTATTCTATAAACTTTTAGTGAACACATTTTTAGAAACATAGCTGCACCTTCATTAACCAAATTACACATAACAATTTATACATTTGTCAATCAATATCAATGCGTTTTTGCACTATGTTTTTTTTTTTCTCCCACACTGTTTACATTTCATCACTGTTGCACTTTAAGGAATGGAAATCTTTATTTTACTGCCAAGCTGCTGCTCATGCAAAGCTGTATACAAAATGACAATAAAAGTTGTCTAAGTCTAAATTGCAGAGTTTAATAAGACAGAATAGAAATGCATCAATTAAGACAAAGAAAAATCAGATTTACCTCTCATTGGCTTAGATTTGAGATCAGACAAAATGAAAAATCATATAGTTTTTATAAACTGTTTATTTAATACATCAAAACTAAGAACACTTACAATTTTCATAAATTAAAGAAATTAATTTAGAATTAGAATAAGGAAGACATGTAAATGAAATTTGTAAATTAAAGTGACTTCATTATTTAGGGTTGTTTTTTTTTTTCTTTTCTTAGTTTAATAGTTTAACTTTCACATTGCTTTTGTTTATATGTTTCAGGTGAGGAAAACGCCTCTATTTTCTTTTAGTCACCATTATATTTCTGTGTTTATCCAAAGGGCAGGAGTATTTGTTTGATTTAGGTCATGAAGCTGGTCTAATATGATTAGAGCAGTCTGGTTCTAGCAGGTCTTAAAAGTGCAGAGCTCCACCACTAATAAAGCAATCAGTCTATTATAAAGGACAATAAAACGCATGTTCTTCATCATGTTTAAGCTTTTTTTAAGCTTTAATTGTATAAATATAACATATTATAATTAATTAATTAATTAATTATTATTATAAATATAATATTTAGAAGCACAGTCTCTTTGCCCAGCCATCTCACTCTGTGTTTAAATACACATTCAGAAGGTTTTTCAGGCTTTCTGAAATTATATAAGCAAGGTTTAATGATTTCCATAGTTACGAAGCTCTTATTGAAAGTATTCTGGGATTATCAGTCAGTAAAAATTGGTGATAGAAGATGTAGAGCATCGTGGTTTGCATTTAACATCAGCACAGACTTTGGTAATTAGGAGGGAAAAAAGCTGCAGTGTCTGGTTTGAAAGAAGGGAGAGCTTTCATTCGTCAGATAGAAGCTCTTTTCCTTTGCATAAATAAGATCAACACACAGCACTGTACCAACATTCAGCGTCATACTTCTTTCAATGCTTTGATTGTTTAAACCGCTGGACACTTTGTCACATAAGTGACTGGGACGTAAATTAGTTTGTGACTCTTGTTATAGAAAAAAGAAGAAGCAGATAAAAGGCTGTCTACATATATATATATATATATATATATATATATATATTTGGTGATATTAAATGATTCATTGTTCAGATCATTGGAAGCAGACATCATCTTCATTTGCTCCAAAAGTCCGGCACAGCATTGGCATCATATCCTGCCAGACAGATTCTGTGATAATAAAGGATTTAGGACTACTGTATTTTAATTTCTATAAATCAACTGTTTTTTTTATTTATAGTTAATATTTGGTTAATGTTTTAGAAATAGACAGTTTTACTATATGGTTCTGGTTTTGCAGATTCAACACTCAAAGCTGACTTCCCCAGTAGAAATATATATATATATTTTATATTTGCATTAATAGGGATTTTTGAGTGTAAAGTTTTTATCTCTAAAATATTATCTCAACATAATATACCTAGGATATGAATATGAAAAGTTTCCTGTTGAGTCATAAATACATTTTTAAGTTTTAAAACTTGTGCTTTTTGAATTCTAAATACTAAAAGGGTTAAAATGTACAATTTTAAAATGTTGTTATAAATGACTTTGGGCCAAATCTCAATGTTTTAAGAACAAGAACCTGTTAGCCATGTTGGCATTAGCATGCTGAAGCCAAAATCCTAACCACTGTAATTTTAATGGTGTGTATATATACATATATATATAATTAATTGTTAAGGGTTTCTGTCCTCCAGGTGAGCGTCAGCGCCGGCACCAAGAAGCTGGTGGCAGCCACAACCTTGGGTACCATCTCACTCCTCTTCCTCGCTCGCCGCTTTAAAAGGAGGAAGGGCAAAAAGAAGGGTCAGTGGGACCAGGCTGCTTTCGAGTTGGTCTCCCCAGCTGCTGCAGAAAACGGTAAGTTTTCCTGATGCTCCAGCATATTCCTGTTGACTCTGAGGCTCCTCTTAGTACATAAAGCCATTTCCTTGTTTCTACATAATTTCATTAGCGCAGTTAAAGGCTCGAATCTTTTGTGTCGTTTTTCATTACTTCTTCACACTTAAAGTTGTCTACTTCAACCAAATCCTTTCAATCTAAAGGTTGTTTGATTTAAAAGCCAATTTCTCTGTTTAGTCAGTAACATCTTTTTCTGTTTAAACTTTATCTCCTTAGATAACACCAGCCAAGACATCAGCGTCTCCTTCAACTCCAAGAATGGCAGCTCAGCTGGTTCCGGGCTGGTTCTCACCACCAGAGACTACAGTAAACTATCCGGGTCTATGATGAGCCTGGCTTCGGTAAACCTCCCGTCATTTTACATGAACAAAACCAGATTCACTTCTCTGGATTTTAAAACAGGAATACCTACAATTATTTCCTATTACTGTGTGAAATGCTGTAATGGTTTGAGGGGTAAGCGTCCTCTTTGTGTCACAAGGTAAAAAGTGTGAACTCGTCCAGCAGCAGCACCTGTGCAAATGAATCCATCAGTTGGGAAGGAGGGAGGGATGCTGATGTGTGCAGCGTGGTCAACTTGTCTGTTACTACACCTGAAAATCTCTACCTTATGGGTGAGGACACGCTGCCTTTTAATAATGAGCTTTTAATTTGTCATAACAGTAGACCGCCTGATGTTAGAGCGTGTGTATTCTCTCCCAGGCATGGATTTATTTGAGGAGGCGCTGCAGCACTGGGAGGAGGCGCTGACGTTCAGGAGCAGACAGGGGGACGAAGACGCCATCTGCACCTCCGTCAAAACAGGAGCTGGAGATGCAATTGCTGAACAGAGCATGGAGGTAAATCACATTGAACACATGTTCCTGTGGCACCAGAGCCCATTTCTCAGTTGTTGTGGACAAATAGAGCAGTAATGTTAATGCATCAGGACCCTAAGGGCGAAAGGAGAATGAACTTTAAATCTTCTTAGGAAATTTTGCGGTAGAGCCTCCTAACGGAGAGAGCAGCTTCTCTAAAAAGAAGCACCAACTTAAATTCATTTCTTCAGTTGTAACAAGTAATTGAATCAAGTTGATCCAACTTAATAAATTAAGTCGAAAAAGTAAATTACTTTGTGCAAACTTAATTCCATTACTTGTCACCAATTGAAGCCATACATTTAAATTGGAGCTGCATTTTCTTTTTACTGTATCTGTTGTTAGGGTTTGTTTGATTCGTTAATGAATGGTGTTTTTTTTTCCCCTCAGAATTATGTGACATTTTCCATCTATATGTAAATTTTACCATGTAAATGGAGGAAGAAAAAGCAATATCGGCTTAAAGGGGTCATAGAATGCAAAACTGAGTTTACATTGTCATAGATGAATAACGATAGTTCAGTGGGGGAAATGGACGTACAGAGAAGTTCAAACCCCATCAACACCTCCTTTCTCTGCAAATCTCACAATTCTAAACTTCCACCATAAAACGGGCGAATTCAGACGAAGCGCCGAATTGATGCTAACTCGGGGATGTTGCCTTATTTGGCTCTGGCCTGTACTTTTGTCACACACTGAAATTGACATACAGACCATCCCACTGGTTCACCATCGTAAATGCAGTGTTCCAGGCTGCACGGAGAAAAGGGGAAAATTTTCACAGTCTTCACAAGGATCTGAAGACTGGACAGGCATGGATTATTTTTGTCTATCAGAAGATTCCTGCAAAGTTTGGGTGAAGGCTGCTGGGCTCCTGACTGGCATTCAAACCGAGCCGTGAGCTCAGGGGCTGGTCTGGGAACCCTGGCGGCCGGGGATGGAGCAACCGAACACGACCCAGTGATGGTATGCGCCCCACCGCCTGCCTTACCGTGCTTCCCCCTGCCCACGGGGTTGCGGCTTCCGTCCCCTGCCGGCTCCCTCCCCCCTGTCCGCCGGAGTTCCCGGACCAGCCCCGGAGCTGACGGCTCGGTTCTGCTGAACTGTATTTGACCAAAATCCCAGACGATTTTGAAATTCCCCCCGGACATTTTTTTAGGTATGAAAAGTAGGATATGTCTGGGAAAAAGAGGACCTCTGGTCACCCTACCATATCAACAATTTGATGTTTCAATGAGTACTTGTTGCTATGATGTGTCTTTGCTCAGCAGCTTCACTCATTGTAAACCAACCAATCAGCGCACAGCTCATCTAAATATTCATGAGCATACCATAAATGAAGAAAACCTGTCATTTCATTCTGGGGCTTTTAACCAGGCTTGCATTAGGGCTCATAGAACAGCAAATATGCTTTTTTCAGCCCAACCAATGTTACACACCCTATTCAGAGACCTTAAGGACCAGCACCAAATACCCTATAGAATCATTCTATGACCCCCTTAAGAATTAGTCCAAAACTATCAACATCACGCATAGAATCAGTTAGACTGGGGTTGTTACTACGTTTTAATTTAAAACTTAACATTGACACCTAGGAGAGTACTTAATACTCGATAACATTGGAATAAAAATATGACAAATGATTAAAGGGATAAAAAAATATTTTTATTAACATGAAAAACTCATCCTTTTTTTCAGCATGGCATATACATTCTCTGCAGATTCAAGTGTTCAAATAAATGCAAAATAGTTAACCCAAATATAACACAATCTGGTTTTATTTTAAGGTCATCTGAGGAATTATTCTTTTAACGTGTAACAAATCCTCACATCTAAAATTAACAATGGCAAAACTGTTCAAAGAAACCCTTGACGCTAGTATCAGTACCATACCAAATAAATGTTTCGTCATATCCAGATAGGCTGTATTAGAACTTATGCTTTTTGGAGAATCAATATTTTTGACAACCTTAGATTAGACTGAGCTTTATAGAAGCTGTATGGGTCGATCGGTAGTAAAGGACTTAAAAACATTTCTGAGGCTATCAAGTCTTAGGTTAAATAAAGAGGGTGGATATTAGGACAGTGCTCAGCCAGTTCCTGTCTGCATCGTTAACGATTGACTGTGCCTCTCCTCTGTTCAGGACGTCATCAGCGCAGAGTTTATCCTCAGGCTGAAGTCTCTGCTGCAGCGGGCTTATCGCCTGCAGGAGGAGTTTGAGGGAGTGCTGGGAATGTCGGAGCCTTCGTCCCACAGCAGCAGCCAGGGTGAGTCACATGCAGCTGTGTCATTCTTCACAGAGCAAAGCTGTAGTCCTTGTCTGTCTCATCCAAAGGCTGTCTGAACTCTGCAGGGTTAATCTGAAATATGTATTCAGCTCTAAATGCAGTGGGTTTGCTTTTTCAATTTGTCCTTTAAAGTTGTTTGTTTATCAATCTGTCCATTAGTTTATTTTTAAATTGTATTATATATATATCCCGTTTCTTTAATCCATTAGTTTGTCTATCATCCTTCTTTGTCAGTTTATTAATCTCTCCTTTCCTGCCCCAACAATCTGCTCATCCATTTTTGTCCATCTTTCTGTTTTTCTATCTATTCATCCATTTATCTTTTCATGTCAATGTCTATAAAACTGTTATAAATTTGCTTATTTTGCCAGCATAGATTCAGAATTTGTCTAGAATTTAAAAATGAATGCGTAGAAGTCACATTTGCAGAAATGAACTCCATGTTTCATGTTAGAGGGTTTTTATCTCCACTTTTTGATCAGTTTGATGCAGAAAAAGTCGTCAGGAAATGAAGTGCAGAGAACAAATATAGTGTGATATATCTCCCTGCATTTACAGATTCTATATGCAAAGAAACTCAGTTTAGAGCCATATGCCAATACTGGAAACGCCTCAAACTCCAGAGCTTTGTGAATATTTTTATGCCCTCCACCCCAACAGATCAAATGGCGGACCTTCTGGCCAGAGAGGACCTGGACGACGTCTGTCTTAGAGACAGCCTCAGCATCGCTTCAAATGACTCTTTTGTGTCTGCAGCCGAGGTAGGAAACACAAAACATTTCTCTGCAGACTCTCTGAGTGAAGTAAATATTTTAGATTCTTCTTCATTTAAAGATGCAGTAGGAGATATTTTCTAACGCATTTCTTTACCATGTGGCTTAAAGATCTCCCCACAGCAGTGAAATAGAAAGTCTGGAAGTGAAACTAAAATAAATGGTCCATGCTACAGTGATAAATCAATGACTAACCTCAACCAATCACAAAAGACTGTCCGTTGTACAGGATTGGTTCCTAACACGTCAATCATGGACGTCTTCTTGTCCCTCACCCCTGTGCGTGTATCCTGACACGTGAACGAATCGACCCCCCAATGCTCGTGCAGGACCCCGTCGCTCTGTCTCCAGCCCCGGAGCTCACGGCTCGGTTCTGCTGCACTGTAGTCGACCAAAATCCTGGACGAATTTGAAATTCCCCCGAACATTTTTTATTCGGTATGAAAATTAGGACATGTCCCGGAAAAAGAAGACATCTGGTCACCCTATTCACACCTAAAGCAGCAAGCGCAGCAAAAACGGGCTTGCTGCTTCATTTTTTATGCTTGTACAAGTTTAGTTCTGACGCGCGGCTGAAGCATCTTTGCTGCTCTGGCTGCGCGATGGAAAAAGTGGGTGTGATGCGTGTTGGGCAGAGCTACCCTATCCTTTCTTTGCCTGGAACAATGGCAGCTATTTTTGCTGTGATCGGTCTGTAAAAAGTAGTTTAAATCTATTTGTACTGCCTTCAAATATTATTTCTCCGACCCCCGTAGATGGGCGGTGTGTTGTCACTAGGAATCCCATTCAACAGCAGCCTAAGGCCCGGTCGCCTCCTCGCGGCTCGCCGTGGCGGCTGGAAAGCCTTTTTTATGTCCGTAATCCAAGCTTGTTGGAACCGTTTTTTCCAAGATCACCTACGGCACCTTTCATGGGAGTTTTTGTAATTTTTTTTACTGTGAATATTATTAATGGCGCTCCATTAAACCAGATCTCATTCTTTTAAAACAGTTTTGGACTTTAATATCTCACTCATCAAGTTTTATTTTATTTTTACTGTACACGAGCTTTTGTTTCTGATTGATGCATCTAATGGCATCGAAACGAGGAATTCCAGTAAACATGGAAAACGTCTAAATGCGTCTTTAACCTTGTAGCGNAGCATTAAACCAAAAAAAAACAAAAAACTAAGGCTTGAGTCTTTTGTGTCATTTTTCCTTACTTCTTCACACTTAAAGTTGTCTACTTCAACCAAATCCTTTCAATCTAAAGGTTGTTTGATTTAAAAAGCCAATTTCTCTGTTTAGTCAGTAACATCTTTTTCTGTTTAAACTTTATCTCCTTAGATAACACCAGCCAAGACATCAGCGTCTCCTTCAACTCCAAGAATGGCAGCTCAGCTGGTTCTGGGCTGGTTCTCACCACCAGAGACTACAGTAAACTATCCGGGTCTATGATGAGCCTGGCTTCGGTAAACCTCCCGTCATTTTACATGAACAAAACCAGATTCACTTCTCTGGATTTAAAACACGAATCCCTACAATTATTTTGCTATTACTGTGTGAGATTCTGTAATTGTTTGAGGGGTAAGCGTCCTCTTTGTGTCACAAGGTAAAAAGTGTGAACTCGTCCAGCAGCAGCACCTGTGCAAATGAATCCATCAGTTGGGAAGGAGGGAGGGATGCTGATGTGTGCAGCGTGGTCAACTTGTCTGTTACTACACCTGAAAATCTCTACCTTATGGGTGAGGACACGCTGCCTTTTAATAATGAGCTTTTAATTTGTCATAACAGTAGACCGCCTGATGTTAGAGCGTGTGTATTCTCTCCCAGGCATGGATTTATTTGAGGAGGCGCTGCAGCACTGGGAGGAGGCGCTGACGTTCAGGAGCAGACAGGGGGACGAAGACGCCATCTGCACCTCCGTCAAAACAGGAGCTGGAGATGCAATTGCTGAACAGAGCATGGAGGTAAATCACATTGAACACATGTTCCTGTGGCACCAGAGCCCATTTCTCAGTTGTTGTGGACAAATAGAGCAGTAATGTTAATGCATCAGGACCCTAAGGGCGAAAGGAGAATGAACTTTAAATCTTCTTAGGAAATTTTGCGGTAGAGCCTCCTAACGGAGAGAGCAGCTTCTCTAAAAAGAAGCACCAACTTAAATTCATTTCTTCAGTTGTAACAAGTAATTGAATCAAGTTGATCCAACTTAATAAATTAAGTCGAAAAAGTAAATTACTTTGTGCAAACTTAATTCCATTACTTGTCACCAATTGAAGCCATACATTTAAATTGGAGCTGCATTTTCTTTTTACTGTATCTGTTGTTAGGGTTTGTTTGATTCGTTAATGAATGGTGTTTTTTTTTCCCCTCAGAATTATGTGACATTTTCCATCTATATGTAAATTTTACCATGTAAATGGAGGAAGAAAAAGCAATATCGGCTTAAAGGGGTCATAGAATGCAAAACTGAGTTTACATTGTCATAGATGAATAACGATAGTTCAGTGGGGGAAATGGACGTACAGAGAAGTTCAAACCCCATCAACACCTCCTTTCTCTGCAAATCTCACAATTCTAAACTTCCACCATAAAACGGGCGAATTCAGACGAAGCGCCGAATTGATGCTAACTCGGGGATGTTGCCTTATTTGGCTCTGGCCTGTACTTTTGTCACACACTGAAATTGACATACAGACCAGCCCACTGGTTCACTATCGTAAATGCAGTGTTCCAGGCTGCACGGAGAAAAGGGGAAAATTTTCACAGTCTTCACAAGGATCTGAAGACTGGACAGGCATGGATTATTTTTGTCTATCAGAAGATTCCTGCAAAGTTTGGGTGAAGGCTGCTGGGCTCCTGACTGGCATTCAAACCGAGCCGTGAGCTCAGGGGCTGGTCTGGGAACCCTGGCGGCCGGGGATGGAGCAACCGAACACGACCCAGTGATGGTATGCGCCCCACCGCCTGCCTTACCGTGCTTCCCCCTGCCCACGGGGTTGCGGCTTCCGTCCCCTGCCGGCTCCCTCCCCCCTGTCCGCCGGAGTTCCCGGACCAGCCCCGGAGCTGACGGCTCGGTTCTGCTGAACTGTATTTGACCAAAATCCCAGACGATTTTGAAATTCCCCCCGGACATTTTTTTAGGTATGAAAAGTAGGATATGTCTGGGAAAAAGAGGACCTCTGGTCACCCTACCATATCAACAATTTGATGTTTCAATGAGTACTTGTTGCTATGATGTGTCTTTGCTCAGCAGCTTCACTCATTGTAAACCAACCAATCAGCGCACCGCTCATCTAAATATTCATGAGCATACCATAAATGAAGAAAACCTGTCATTTCATTCTGGGGCTTTTAACCAGGCTTGGATTTGGGCTCATAGAACAGCAAATATGCTTTTTTCAGCCCAACCAATGTTACACACCCTATTCAGAGACCTTAAGGACCAGCACCAAATACCCTATAGAATCATTCTATGACCCCCTTAAGAATTAGTCCAAAACTATCAACATCACGCATAGAATCAGTTAGACTGGGGTTGTTACTACGTTTTAATTTAAAACTTAACATTGACACCTAGGAGAGTACTTAATACTCGATAACATTGGAATAAAAATATGACAAATGATTAAAGGGATAAAAAAATATTTTTATTAACATGAAAAACTCATCCTTTTTTTCAGCATGGCATATACATTCTCTGCAGATTCAAGTGTTCAAATAAATGCAAAATAGTTAACCCAAATATAACACAATCTGGTTTTATTTTAAGGTCATCTGAGGAATTATTCTTTTAACGTGTAACAAATCCTCACATCTAAAATTAACAATGGCAAAACTGTTCAAAGAAACCCTTGACGCTAGTATCAGTACCATACCAAATAAATGTTTCGTCATATCCAGATAGGCTGTATTAGAACTTATGCTTTTTGGAGAATCAATATTTTTGACAACCTTAGATTAGACTGAGCTTTATAGAAGCTGTATGGGTCGATCGGTAGTAAAGGACTTAAAAACATTTCTGAGGCTATCAAGTCTTAGGTTAAATAAAGAGGGTGGATATTAGGACAGTGCTCAGCCAGTTCCTGTCTGCATCGTTAACGATTGACTGTGCCTCTCCTCTGTTCAGGACGTCATCAGCGCAGAGTTTATCCTCAGGCTGAAGTCTCTGCTGCAGCGGGCTTATCGCCTGCAGGAGGAGTTTGAGGGAGTGCTGGGAATGTCGGAGCCTTCGTCCCACAGCAGCAGCCAGGGTGAGTCACATATGCAGCTGTGTCATTCTTCACAGAGCAAAGCTGTAGTCCTTGTCTGTCTCATCCAAAGGCTGTCTGAACTCTGCAGGGTTAATCTGAAATATGTATTCAGCTCTAAATGCAGTGGGTTTGCTTTTTCAATTTGTCCTTTAAAGTTGTTTGTTTATCAATCTGTCCATTAGTTTATTTTTAAATTGTATTATATATATATCCCGTTTCTTTAATCCATTAGTTTGTCTATCATCCTTCTTTGTCAGTTTATTAATCTCTCCTTTCCTGCCCCAACAATCTGCTCATCCATTTTTGTCCATCTTTCTGTTTTTCTATCTATTCATCCATTTATCTTTTCATGTCAATGTCTATAAAACTGTTATAAATTTGCTTATTTTGCCAGCATAGATTCAGAATTTGTCTAGAATTTAAAAATGAATGCGTAGAAGTCACATTTGCAGAAATGAACTCCATGTTTCATGTTAGAGGGTTTTTATCTCCACTTTTTGATCAGTTTGATGCAGAAAAAGTCGTCAGGAAATGAAGTGCAGAGAACAAATATAGTGTGATATATCTCCCTGCATTTACAGATTCTATATGCAAAGAAACTCAGTTTAGAGCCATATGCCAATACTGGAAACGCCTCAAACTCCAGAGCTTTGTGAATATTTTTATGCCCTCCACCCCAACAGATCAAATGGCGGACCTTCTGGCCAGAGAGGACCTGGACGACGTCTGTCTTAGAGACAGCCTCAGCATCGCTTCAAATGACTCTTTTGTGTCTGCAGCCGAGGTAGGAAACACAAAACATTTCTCTGCAGACTCTCTGAGTGAAGTAAATATTTTAGATTCTTCTTCATTTAAAGATGCAGTAGGAGATATTTTCTAACGCATTTCTTTACCATGTGGCTTAAAGATCTCCCCACAGCAGTGAAATAGAAAGTCTGGAAGTGAAACTAAAATAAATGGTCCATGCTACAGTGATAAATCAATGACTAACCTCAACCAATCACAAAAGACTGTCCGTTGTACAGGATTGGTTCCTAACACGTCAATCATGGACGTCTTCTTGTCCCTCACCCCTGTGCGTGTATCCTGACACGTGAACGAATCGACCCCCCAATGCTCGTGCAGGACCCCGTCGCTCTGTCTCCAGCCCCGGAGCTCACGGCTCGGTTCTGCTGCACTGTAGTCGACCAAAATCCTGGACGAATTTGAAATTCCCCCGAACATTTTTTATTCGGTATGAAAATTAGGACATGTCCCGGAAAAAGAAGACATCTGGTCACCCTATTCACACCTAAAGCAGCAAGCGCAGCAAAAACGGGCTTGCTGCTTCATTTTTTATGCTTGTACAAGTTTAGTTCTGACGCGCGGCTGAAGCATCTTTGCTGCTCTGGCTGCGCGATGGAAAAAGTGGGTGTGATGCGTGTTGGGCAGAGCTACCCTATCCTTTCTTTGCCTGGAACAATAGCAGCTATATTTGCTGTGATCGGTCTGTAAAAAGTAGTCTGAATCTATTTTTCCTTCAAATATTATTTCTCAGACCCCCGTAGACAGGCAGGGTGTTGTCACTAGGAATCCCATTCAACAGCAGCCTAAGGCCCGGTCGCCTCCTCGCGGCTCGCCGTGGCGGCTGGAAAGCCTTTTTTATGTCCGTAATCCAAGCTTGTTGGAACCGTTTTTTCCAAGATCACCTACGGCACCTTTCATGGGAGTTTTTGTAATTTTTTTTACTGTGAATGTTATTAATGGCACTCCATTAAACCAGATCTCATTCTTTTAAAACAGTTTTGGACTTTAATATCTCACTCATCAAGTTTTATTTTATTTTTACTGTACACGAGCTTTTGTTTCTGATTGATGCATCTAATGGCATCGAAACGAGGAATTCCAGTAAACATGGAAAACGTCTAAATGCGTCTTTAACCTTGTAGCGACGACTGATCTGCAGCATGAGGTTGACTGGAATAGCTGCAGCTTCACCACCCGCTGATAACCAGAAACTGGTTTATCTTCTTTTCTCATTAACTCTCCGTAGGGGCTCGAGCTTAGCATCCGGTGCTATTGTTAGCCTTGAACCACAGAGTGCAGAAATAAACTGCTTGTTAGGAATAATTATCTTGAAGAGATTCTAGTTTGGATTTTTTATTTTTATTAGGTAAAGGGTTCAGAGGAGGGTTTTAAATGTTTGACAAAGAATCTTAGTGGACATGGGTTTATATAAAAAACTTAAAATACCTGTGGCACCTTAAGTACTGGAGCAGACTGTGAGGAAATGATTGTAAAGAAAGAGAATGTGAGTCTGGCATTGTTTATGTGGTATATTCATCCCATTTCTGTTTTGTGAAAAAACTTTAACTGCCTCGTTTTCCTTTACCTTTACAAACGGTATTGATTTTTTTTTTTGTTTGTTTTACTGGATTTCTTGGATTTAGGAAGTCTTTGTGAACTTGAGTTTTTAGCCGTTTTAGCAGTCACTCTGAGCCTCAACCCTGATATCGTCTATTATCACATTTTAGTGGTGTATCAAGCTCTGTGATGTCTGTTTTAAGGTGTATCCCTTTGTAAATTTTCTTTCCAGTGTTTACTGTCAATAAAGCGGATGGAGATAAATACCATCTTTTAATGAGGAATACTTTACAGCAGATGTATTAAGTTTTTTTCATTCCTCTAAGCAACAAAGACCATGCTAATATTTTACCCGAAGACCACAGAAAGCCCTTCTTTGTCTAGTTTAATGCATTTGGATGTTGGGCATCAGCAATATTTCTTTTCTTTGTGAAAAGTTGATAAACCTGGAGAATTTTAACATGCCTAGAAAATGTTATTTTTACCTCTACAGTATCTAAAATGGAAACTGTTTCTGTTTGGCTCAGATGTCGGAGCACAGAGATCTGAGGAGCACTTTTCCTCTGGGACATCATCCTTTTTACGAGGAGGCGCTGCAGATGGCCGAGGAGGGCAAGATTTCCTGCAGGGTGCTTCGGTAAGAATCCTCAGGAGTTAGAGGGAACTTTATCAGCCTCAAAGCCTGTAGGGATTGTCTGGGATGCTGTTTTAGATTGGTGTTAAGATGTTCCCCACTTTAGAGGAAGTGGTTCAAAGCTCAGCTGAAAATAGTTTGGAACTTTCAGTTAAATCCCTGAAAAAGTGAGAGAGGCCATGAAAAACCCAGAGAGAAAGAGTTCTTGCTGGATTTTTCAGCCTTTCCCCTTCTAAATCCATCTTATTCAGCTTTCTTTGGAATTTATAATCCAAACTTTCTAGTTGTTTGATCAAAGGATTGTTACCTGCGATATAAAAATATAAGTTTGTTTTAACAATCCTTTTTTCCTGGGAGAATTTAAACCGTTAATCTCCAGCTGAGAAGAAACGGTTCCTGTGCCGCATTGTTTACATCCCGATTTATCACAGCAAGCCTCAAACAGTCAGGGAGAGAGGGATCTGCTACACGTTAAAGTCCTGGAGACAGGCAGGTTGTTTAAGGGGGCCAGATTGTAGTTAATCATGTTTTCTGCATATCAGACGACACCCTGGAGCTCCATGTCCTCTTCATCGGAGGCACAACCGTACCAGAGATGTATGAGTAACAATAGTGTAGAATTGCACCATCATTTCCATTAGCAGGTTGAATCTGGGCTGTTTTCTGCTAGTGTTCAATATTACAAATGAGGTCTAAAGGAGCATAGCGCAAGACAAGCAGTTGAAAAGACGCCGCCGTTTTACACACGCAATAGAGACTGGGGAAAAAAAACGTGTGCAACTGCATGAGTCTAGAGATATTATGTTATCTGAGCATCTTATCCTTTTATCAAAAAAGGAACACATCCAGGACAGGCCTGAGCTCGTCCGTGTGAAAAGCTTATTTATCCTTATTCCATGAGATCAGACTCAAACGTGGCCCTTTTCATCACACTAGACAAACATTTTTGTTTCTTATACTTGTGTGGAGACTGAGTTTAGACTGGTGGGGTTTGAGGTGCACTGATACTTTGTAGTGATATATCTTTACAAACCATCTGCCTTGTTTTCATGCTGCAGCAAAGCAGTCAGGTGAATAAGAGTTTACAGCACATCCTAGCCATGCCCAGTTCAGCCCTGATCACTCTAATGAACTGAATAATGCAGCCTATAAAGGGGAGCTAATTTTACATTTCTGGGAATTTTAAGGGCATGAATCGGAAAAGGAAAAAGTTACCTTTTAAAGCTGTGTAATGGACCTTAAAAGGTATAGTGGAGGATTTTCGGGAATTTAAAAACAAAAATAAAATAAATGCACATGCACAACCCTGTACCCGCTGGCGAGAGAGAACGCCTATTAAATGCGTGTGAGAGCATGCATGAGCCCATTTCTCCTCTAGGAGGTGTGGGGATGTAATAAGCCGGTCGCTCGGGTGGATCTCATCTCACCCATATTTATATATAAGAAGTTTCCTGCAAATAATACTACTGGAACATTCAAAAATATCATGACAAGCTTGTATGTGTATCTGGGTGCTGCAATGGAAATTTGGACATGTTTGCACGCTAAATTAGGATCTGTGGCCACCGTTTAACTACTAACGATCCAAATTACAAAAAACTTTACTTCCCTGAAATGTTACAGTGTAGAGGTAGATAACTTTTACTAGCAGTGTGAAATGGATTTCTCCAAAGAGCATGCCAAACTTTACCCGTCGAGTAGAAGCTTTGCAGCCGAGGTAACAGTGGGAAGCCCGACCTGTGCTTTCAGTGCACAGGTCGGGCTTCCCACTGTCACCTCGGAGGACCACTTATTTAGATGAAGCACCTGGAAAAAACATCCTCCACTATACCTTTAAATAAATGGAAAAAATCCACTGTTGTGCTTTTTCAGTTTGGGACTGATGAAAAGCTCTGCATGACATGGTCCAATTTTAACTTCAGCTATATTCTCTCAACCATTAGAGAACCAGAGAAACAACTGAGATTATTTTCTTTTATGCTCATACAAGCATCAGATGTTTTTGGTGGCGTTATCTGAATTATTTTTTCTGATTGATCTTATTTTTTTTAGAACTGAAATACTGGAGTGTCTCGGCGACTTGGACTTCCTGGCTAAGCTGCACTGTGTTCGGCAAGCATGTGAGGTACGCTCTAACTTCATCTCAGATGCCATACTGGAATCTGCTGCAGTTTAATCTGTTTGTCTTGAAAAGATTGTCCATTGTATAATTATTTTTTTTTTCTTTAGCTCATTTTGAGCGACAGGTCGACTAGAACATTCCTTGCTGACACTGGGAAGAAAATCCTGTCTTCAATAATAGTCAAAGCTCAGAAAGTAAGGTCTAAAACATGGCTCATGTCTGGAGTTCTCTTTAATGTTGGTGACGTTCTCCTCTTATGGGCGACTTTCTGTTTTTTTTAGAGTCCAAAAAGATTTGAAGAAGTGTTTGAGGAGTTGATTTTCTTTCTGGAGCAAACGGATCATTGGGAAGACACAGAGTTGGAACTCGCTTCTAGAGGGGTGTGTTGGAAAACTATTTTTGATATTAATCACTCCTAACAGCATTAAAAAAAAGCTGAGATTCTCATTTTTCTATTTTGGTTTAATATGTTTCACACCCTTTCTCACCAGGTTAGGCATTTAAACTTCTATGACGTTGTTCTGGACTTTATCCTGATGGATTCCTTTGAGGACCTGGAAAATCCTCCCATCTCCATCCAGAACGTGATCAACAACCGCTGGCTTAACAGCTCCTTTAAAGAAACGGTGATTTAAAGACTAGTTTTCACAGCCTGCAAAAAAATTTTGTGTTTCAGGCATTCTGTTAATCGGTTTCATTTTATAGGCAGTGGCATCAAGCTGCTGGTCGGTACTGAAGCAGAAGAGACAGCACTTGAAGGTATGAGTCTTAGTTTTTTTCTTTTACGGCAAGACTGAGCCTTTTTTCCTCCCAAATTCCTCTCTGTCTGGACTTTTTTTCTAGGTGTCCAACGGCTTCATCGCCCATTTCTACACGGTGTGTGAACAGATCAGCCCAGTCCTGGCGTGGGGCTTCCTGGGCCCAAAGAGCTCTCTGCACGAGTTCTGCTGCTTCTTTAAGGTCAGCTTATAGTTGTCTTGTCAACAGATTCACTCCTGAGGCCTTAACATAATAGCTTTTATTTATACCGAGATTGAGTCATATGTGGATTCCTCTAAAATACATTGAAGATTTTTGGTTGTGTTATAAAATGCCATAAAGTCGAGGGCAGCTATGTTTTTATCATGAAGCTCATCTTTTGTCTGTCCTGCAGGACCAGGTGCTTCACTTCCTGAAGGACGTTTTTGACCTGGATAAAGTGCGTTACTCCTCAGTGGAGACCCTGGCAGAGGACATGCTCCATCTCCTGCACCGGCGTTCTGAGCTGCTGTTGGCCTACCTGGGAGCCGACGCCCTGCGGCCCCTCAGTGGCTGCAGCCCCCTGCAGGTGCAGCTGGTCCCCAGCAATTTGCTGGAGGCACAAGTACAGTAACCTGCCAATGGGGAGTTGAATCCACTGACTTCAACCATCGGACCAAAGAAAGTTCCTTTCCAAACCATGAAGTGTAAAACAGACTTGCTGTGTGCTTTGTGGGTCTGCCTTCATCAGTGTCCTCTTTTCTCAGTGCCATAGTAGTGAAATATCACTCAGCAATAACATTTGTACTTTTAGCCTGGGGTGTTGCGCTTTGTAAATGAACTTCTATTTATTGCAGTTGCGAGCCATTAAACACTACAGGGAAAGTATTTGCTCATCTGTCTGAATAGAAAGCCAAAAGAAGCAGGGTTTATTTCAGGTGTTGCATTGATCTGCAAGAGCTTCAAACATGCAGTAGGCGTCATCTTTATGTAATGTGTTCATCTTCCTGAACACTAGCAATGCAATATTAGATTTATATGCTATTTAGCACCATTGTTGCTGTAAACTACTTGAAAAGGGAAAGTTTCCTTCTGACTGAAGAAGCTGACAGTCTGATATAAAACTAGTTGGGCTGTGAGCAGCTTGTGCCGGTCCCTTCTTACTGAGCACAAGAAGCCTTACCATGAAAGCTAGTATGTCACTGAATATCAGCTGAAAAACATCTTCCTTCTGGGGAATATGATTGACTGCCATGCAGAGAAAGCTCACGTCAAAGCTTGTGTGTTGGTGTAAATTTTTTTTTCTCCCTCACAAGTCAGAACCACCAACACCTTTGACTTAATACAGTCACTCCAGGATAAAAAGGGAAAACATCAATTTTCAAAGTAATTTGTGATTAGCATCTATTGTAACATGTTTTAGTCAATATTAGCTGTTAAAAAAAGAGATGGTGAATATTTAAAATACATTGACTGTTGTAATATAATCTAAACACCATCAATATCAATTGTCACAACTTTAGACTGTTGGTATCCAATATTAAAATATTGCCAATAGAGAGAAAGCTGTCTGCTGTACTTGATTCTGGCATGTTCTTTGAGTTGATCATTATCCTCATCAAAACAGTTGGAGAGGATTTGGTTCTGGGGGATAAAGAGCCATAGAAAGCAGCTTTTAACTATTGAAAAACCTTCTGGTTAATTCTAGCGGTAAATTATGGAAGAGCATAAGGGCCACTGGGGGGAATAAAAAAAAAGTCAGAATTCTGACTTT